CTGTTTACCGATTACAATGAATACAAAAGAGTGAGCCTTTATGCTTTGTAAAACTACTCTTTATAACAAAACAAGATTACAAGTGCTCCTTAGAAACACACGCAGAGGATGTTTATCGTTCGTTGCTTGCGTGGGATCTTTACCTGTGTCGGGGGTGCATTAGCCTTGGACGACCGGATCACAGATCCAAGTTGAACCGTGAAGAAAGCTTAAGGTTGACGTTTCGTTTTAGAAACAAAAACAAAAGTGGATATCTTAACAAAGTAATATAAAACACTTTTCTCAAGATTAAGTCAAAGCTTAGATCTCGAGGGAACGCTGAAGGCTCTTGGAAAATGAAGACTATTTTTTTTCTTGCTCAAAATCACCAAATTGCTTAAGTCTCTACCTTTTCTCCCTTCGTTCTCGTGCATATAGGTGATAGAGGGCTATTTATAACCCATAGGAACCATAACTAAAGGTTGAAGTCAAAAAGAAACCATCTTTGGTAAACTCCTATTTCCGAGATAGTCGCCACTATCTCGGAAACAGGGCTTATTTCTGACCCTTTCGTAACCGCTCCTACCATCTTTAACTGTCATTATTTCTATAGTTATTGGCGAGATTTTTGTTTGTAACTGTCCTCCCACGTTCACACACGATCCCTAGCAATTATGAGCCACGTGGATCGTACAAAGTCCAAGAAATCTATCAGAAAAAATGCATCATCGGCTTCTCAGTATGCGAGATACCCTGACGTGTCTTGCACTTCCGAGATAATTTGTACTATCTCGGGTATTTTGGCTCAACTCTCTTGTTCGATCTCAAAATGATGTGATTCAAGATGCATTGAAAATATAGTAAAGAGACCTACAACTTTTGTTTTTTGAGCTTCTTCATAATCGAATTGTATCATAGTAGAAATGTTAGAGACACCTTTGGTGTCTCGCACTTCCTAGACAGTTTGTGTTGTCTTGGGTATTTTGGTTCTAACTCTCTCGTCCGATCTAAGAATGAGGTGATATAAGATATGTTAGAAAGCTTATGAAGAGACCTACAACTTCCCATATGATAGACACACATGGTGTGAGGAGAGACATACATGGTATGGGCGAGACACACATGGTGTTTCGCCCCTTGTGGACAAAACACAGCTCCTGACTGAGTTGTTTCTTCGTTGTTTTACTGTTTCATGTGTTACGTTGACTCGTATGCTTCACTGACTCGCTTCATGCACTTGTTAGCTTCTGTACAATATTGGATAATCTTATTTGACTCAGATAATGATGTTCATCATCTTCTCTTCATATCGAGCTGCGTGCGGGGACCTATATGTAATTTTTGACGCCTACACCCACGTCCCACATCCTGAGTGATGAAAGCATGGCTCTCATCACCTATAGTGGTCACATCCCACATCTATAGGGGAGGGTATAGTGCTCCTCACCTGTGAGCGGTCACATCCCACAAGTCAAAGGATTGACTATACCTTTCCTTACCTATTTATAAGCCACCTTTGGCATCATGAAGGGGGCTTCGGAGGGTTTTTGGAGAGGTTTTGGAAGCTTGGCATTTCTAAGACTCTTCAATCAGAGGCCTTTTTGCTGCTGGCTTGGTGGGCTTGAGCGGCTGGGCATCTTGAGAGCTTGGTTGGACATTCTTAAGCAAAAAGCTTGGATTGTTGAAGTAGACTCAATCTGAATTCTCAGATTTGAGACTCTTGGCTCCTTGCAAACTCTTGCATATTAGCCTTATCTAAGCATTCAGCCTTGATACTCATCAAGCTCGGGTAATTGAACTCAATCACACAAGAACTTCTACTGCGTACTAAAGCTCAACTGCAATTTCGATCGGATCGTCCAAGGGAAGCAAACTCGACGCAAGCATTCGAGGGAGGCATCTTATCGCTACCGAAGACCCCATGTTAAACAAAAAGAACATTCTCTTCGCTTCTATTATAACTTGATTTCTTGATTTGTAATAAGTCATTCTTATTAATACAAATCTTCTCTTTTCGGGAATCAATTTTACTCTCCTACAATCGTCCTTCCTCCAACTGGGCTCCTTTTGAGGGTATTTCTCACTCCGTGGGCAGATAGGAGAAATTGGTTTCTCTATAATTTTAATGCTTGCTTTCCTTACCTTGGAAACAATTATATCTCTCCTCAAAGATCCAGCCGTCCCTACAACCATTACCTAATTAGCCAAAGGAGGCTTCCATCTCAAAGTAAGGACTGGTTTTTTGATGCCCATCATCTTGTAGTACCATAGCTGTCAAAATAGAATGAAAGAAATTTTAAGCTTTTATAAACTAGTAAAACTATAGATAACATGAAAAAGATGAAGGAAAAGCAACAAATGTTTATCATAATTTTTCTTTCTAACTTTTAAAACTCTTTGTTCAGCTTCAGTCTAAAAAGCTAACTTTCACACTTAAAGGTGAACTTTTCACTATTACATGTTAACATTCAGGCGTACATGTTAACTGTCACATTTTATTATTAACTTTCATGCATAAATGTTAAGTTTCATGTTAACATGTTAATTGTCATCATATCCTGTTAACTTTCAATCTTGTACATGTTTTCTGATGCATGTTAACTTTTATCATAGTTATCAAAACTCTAATAACTAAAACAAAAGGAAAACATATGAACATGCAACTTACAGGAATGAGCGGCATGCATCCAGGTACGTATGTAACCCCTGGCTTTCTCATTCCTTCCACGATAATTTGAATGCCTCTCTTCATCTCATTAAAAATAAATTTACCCCACACAATAGTTTTTACCCTCTCAGTGCTATCCACATATTGAAACAACAGTCTTGGAATGCCTTTTGAGCTGTTAAGGCACCAAATCATTACACACTAATACAAAATCTAAAGCAGCACAAAATCCTCAATATCCTTCTTTGAGGTCGACTCAAGAATTGTCTCCAGTAACTCTTCAACATATCTCCGCATGCTACCAGAATTTTCTTTATCTTTGCCATTGTCTTTGCCTTTTTCTTGACCTTTATCATTCACTTTTCTCTTCAAAGTACTCCCTCCAGAGCCGGTTGTGTGGGTCTTTATTTCCATAAATCAACTCCCCATCGATTGGGAATCCCGTATGATTTTGCACCCATCCTCATCAAATTTGATTGAAAACATTGACCCGATTTTGGAATCGGGGAAAGATAATTCATCCTTTTTGCCAACATAATGACTTAGCACATGCTCTAGTGTTGGTCGATCACGTGCTGGAGGTCCAAACAAGACGTAGTGCTCAAAGTTACTGACCTTGTAGGCATCCCAGTGCCACTTCTTCATTCTTGGTTGAAGGTTTTTTATAAACGCATATGATCCAAAACATGCTGTAGGCCTAATATCACCTACAACATCAATCTTTCCTGCATAAATAAATATTTACTCTTAACAAATCATTCAAATTCTTAATATCCATTATACTAATTAACATCAGCGGCAAATATTAACATTAAAGGTTAAAACTTAACAACCTTTTGTGACAGTTAACATTTAAAGATGAACGCTAACAACACTCAACAAAACTTAACATCTGTTCGTACAAGTTAACATTCGTTTATGAACTTTAATATCCAATGATGAAACATGTATGTGTAAAAGTAAACATCAATTATTTACTTTTTTTATGTAATGCTATCACTTAAATAAAAAATTGATGTACATGCTATACTTCTCAATATATAATATATGACAAATCCAATTGCAAATATTCACATACTTTTCATAATTGTTGGATGTGATTGTATACTGTAATTCATATGCTATGATTATACTTCTCAATATTACATGATAATATAACACAATGAACTAAATTCCAAACAATGAGTCTATATGTCATACAATAGGTCTACACTTCATACATAATAATTTCACTCAGATTAAGACAAAAATTCTATGAATAAGATCCCTATTTTATCCACTTTTATTATCAATAAATTGAATATCAAACTGTAATAGTTATGACCTTAGCCTAGTAACAAATAATTACTATTAACACGAATTGGAAATAGTTAACTGTTAATTAACTTAGTAAAAGTCAAGATTTATTAACATGAATGGCTAATAATTGACACTTAAGGCTAAACGTTAAAAACAAACGAGAATTATTGATATGCATTGCTAATAGCTAACAACAAATGAGAATTGTTGATATGTATTTCTTCAAAACGATTATACTTGATATTGTTGAGATCATACTCCCAAGTTAAAAAACTGGTTCTACACTACAATAACCAGCTTCTCACTATCATTTTTTCATAAATAAAACTTATAAATCTCAATCGCATTTCAAACAAATAAACTGTTAACTTTCTTCCTTTTTTCCTACTCATATTTTCGACTAACATTCAACACCATAATTTTACAAATTACTTATAACGAAAATTAATTAAATTCAAAATCACTCAACACAACCTTCGTTGAGCATCTCCTCTTACGGTCTAAAACTTCCGGTCCCCTTTTCATGCTCAATAGGGTCACCGTCGCATTGTTACTTTCCTCATCCTCAAAGGATGTTGGAGAAGAACCACCGACGGGGGATACGAAGGCAGAGGCGGATGATTTTGGCACATCCTCCGTTGTCAACCGAGTTGAGCGACGCCGGTGACGAACCCCTTCCCTTCGGGTGTTGTCTCCTTCACCCTTCTGGACATTACGGTTTTCAGCCATTTAACTTAAAATTTTTAAGAAAATTTTAACGGATTTAATGGACGTTTGAGTGAAATTTAGGCTTTCGAATTTGGGTTCTCGAGATGATAGAGCTTTGAGCGAGAGAAGAGAGAAAAAAGAGAGAGGGCGGACAAGTTTTAGGGGGAACGGTTAAAGACAGTTTTGAGTTTTGACAAATAGTTTTTCTCTGTTCTGAGTTGGAAATTAAATAGAGGTTAAAACATAATTATTTTATGTATTAAGGTCTTTCTCACACAAATATTAATACAGTGGTCTGACCACTTTTTTTTTTTGCCATTAAAAAGTGATTAAATTATCCCATCCCAAAATAAAGAAAGGGATACGCTCTCTCCGTCGCTTCACTGCCAAAAATGGCGCTCAAAACCCTCCCCGCTTTCTCTCCCATCTCCTCCCCAAATTATCACCACTCATCCTCACCCTCTTCAGCTCCTCTATTCTCTCCGTTTATCTTTCTCTTCAAAACCAGACCCCCTTCCTCCAAACCCTTCAAGCCTCTCCTCCTTTCTTCTCAATCCCCCATCTTCCTTCCTATCCTCGACCAAGACCCAAAATCTCTCAGCAATCGACAAGAACCAGTAGAATATAAGGAAGAAGAAGAAGTCGACCCCATTCGAGTTTTCTTCAAATCCCGCTCCCAAACCCTGAACCCGAAACAAGAAGGGCGGGTCACCCTCCAGCGAAACCGCCGAACCTCTTGGCGTATTGCGCAAACTGAAGCAGACCCACTTGGAAAAAACCCATCTTTTGATGACCCAGAAGCTGAATTGGTAGATTCCAGTGAAGAAGTTGAAGTTGGTAGTTTTGGTATTGTAGAAGAAATCTTAAAGGTTTCACGAAACCTTCCTGAGAATTCAACGTTGGGAGATTTTTTGGGTTCTTATGTTGGAAAGATTGGCAAGGATGAGTGTGTTGAATTGTTGATTAAATTGGGGGAAGAGGGCTTGGTTAACAGTTGTTTGTATTTTTTTGAATGGATGAGGATGCAAGAGCCTTCATTGGTGACTCCAAGGGCATGCTCGGTCATTTTTCCGGTGTTGGGGATGGCGGGGATGGGAGAGAAGGTGATGGTGTTGTTTGCGAATTTGCCACAGGCGAAGGGGTTCAGAGATGTGAGGGTTTATAATTCCGCGATCTCAGGGCTTGGTGCCTGCGGGAGGTGAGGTCTCTGATCTAAGTTGTGGTCCGTAGATAATAGATTTGTGTATATTATTCTGGTTTAGGGGGAATTGTAAGCATTTTAAAATTATTTATAGTATTTGCTTTTTTTAAATAAATTAATAAACAAATAATCTTCATTTGTATCGAAGAGTTATCTAGGAGAATTATGGAAATTTCTTTGCTTTGCCACTGGCCTTCTAGGTTGGTAACCCTATCTTGCATTAGTTGGCAATGTTAACTGACAAAGAAAATGACATGCATCTAGATCTCTGTCCTGTAGATGACTTATTTTCGTGTGAAATTGATGATTGATTTTAACTTAGGATGCTGTATGCTAGAACAATGGAGGAGCTTCACTTGATAGTGAGGGTCTGGCTTTGAAAAGAAAAGAAAATATTCTTTGAGCTTGGAGATTATATCATATGCTTTTACTGTCAATTTTTCAACAAATGCGCGTTGACATCAAACTTTATCATTCTACTCTTCTCAAATTTCAAATTTATTTTGAATTACCAATGATAATAATGTGAACATTGTATTTTTTAGTTGGCTATCTTTATCCACATAGCTATTAACACAATGTGATGATTGCTTAGTCTTCTTGAAGTCACAACTGCCTGCATATCCAGTACTGCCATCTTGATACTCTATTGATTCACCTTACATGAGTTATATACCTATTCAAATTGGAAGAAATAAAGACCATAAAATAGAATTGGACACACGACTATACTTTTAAGTTTTATGGAGCTTTGTTTTGCCTTATTTTGTGTGTATGTGTTCAGAAGGGTTGGTGGTGCAGGTGGAGGTTAGTATTGATAAGCTATGAGGAAATGCCAGAATAGGCTTCATAATCTATCTTTGAAATTGCCGACATTTTGATACTAAGAAAAAGGTGTGCTAACTGCTAATTTGGTTCGTACCTTAATAGCTACATGGATTAACTTTGTATCTTTACTTCATAACGCATCATAGGAGGTAACAAATTGGATCTTTTGTGGCACTAGTATTATGGATTGAATGGTTTGCGCCTTGCTTATTGTATAAGAGGTATACTCAATTGTACTATTGTTGACCAAGAGCATTTCTTGCTTCAGTGAATATAGTGAGACATGAAAGGAATTGATTAAAGGGAGGAAATGAAGTGTTTGTCCCTCAGTAGCTTTGAGGAGGAGCTGAGGGAATATAACTATAATGTGCTGCTTATGAATTATTTTAGGTACAATGCCTGGATGCCTTTACCCTATTTATAGTGCTCCATGCTCCTATGTCATAAATGTATTCTGATGAGATACACTTGATATAAACCAGTTTCACTATGATCTTACTATGAAAAACAATGGAGTTCTGACTAAAAAACTACACCAAAAGTTTTATAGCTATTGATGCAAATGGACATAAATATTTATGATATATCTACATTCAAATCAGAGATGAATACATATATCAATATACATATCTGATTCAATATGGTGTGTAGCTTATTGTTTTATTCTTGCTTGGATGGGGATATGGAATTATGGATAGGGAATAGGTAAAAAGGTTGGATAAATATTCATGCGAGGAGAATGGCTAAGAGTAATTTGGTCTTAGCTGATTTAAAGCCAATTGGCAATCCAACGGTATGCTCCCTAGGCTTTTGAGTGCACCATTACATGGCTAGCTTTATTTGAGAGATTCTACTATATTTGGATGGTTTTAATGTACTTTTGAGTCTACCTGCTTCCATTATATTATATATACATTTATGTTTTTCTCATATCTTATCCGTGCCTAAATTTGAGTTCTGCATCTATGGATATATCATTTATTGAGTCATGTCAATATCTATATTCATAGTTGCGTGATTCCCCGGGCCCCCTCGAACCGTCGTACAGTTCCTGCGAACCGATTCCTAGTACATTTACTAACCGATTCCCTTTGATACATGAACCAGTTCCCCAAAAGTGGCGTATCACTTACAAGTATGCTAGATGCAAAGTCTCTTTAAGTGCAAGTGCACAAGATGTAATACAATGTGTGCAATTAAGTGAAGTGAGACACACAATAGAGTGTATAGAGTGTATGAGCCGATGACTTTACTGTAACTAAACATGCATGTTAATTAAATGTAAAACGAAACCATAATCCTTAAACGAGCTCTGTGAAAAAAAAGAACAAAAAAACAAACACCATTTAAAAGAAGTATTTAAGTATTTTATATGAAAAAAATATTAAAATTCATAATTAGCTTTCTAGTTTTCTATTATATACTTTGGAAAACTTTTAAGTGCACCAAAAAATAAAATTTACCATGTACCACTAACCGAACTTGTGTACCGATGCAAGCTACCCCCTAACGAATCCAAATTTTTAAAGTGGCGAATTGCGTACTTGAATTCGTACCATGACCTGCTACGTTGTAACTATTTCTATACCCATACCAATATATGTGATTATGAAATGGATGTGGTTATGGTTTGCTATATCTGATGCATAATCGATCCATTTGCACTGCTCTTCATAGCAAGTATTTCACAAGATATTTGCTTTTATTCCATCATTGTATCAAGCTGATATCATATCGTTTCACATTTATATCAAACACTTTCATATGAAAATATTTTCCCGCTTGTCCAGTCGGAATGTTTGCATATTCAAACCTGAAATCTATCTTAGTTCCAATAGAGGCTTGAAAAGTGAATGAGAGGAAGTGTTATTGAGGTCAGTATTTGTAAACAAAGGATATAATCTTGTTGTGGAGGATTACGTGGTTATGAGGATTGCAAAAGAGGTTCTGGTTCCTTGGGAGCACTAGTATTATGTGGGGACTCATCGTTGTTAGTGTTGGGGTTGGTGATTGGTGGGGGCAGAGGGAGAATCATGCGGGCTTGGTGTTGAGATGGAAGCCTCCTTGGTGACGGGAAACTTCAGGAGATGAAGAAAGGAGTGGAAAGGGGGA